CTCAAACAGAGGACATACAACCAAAATATTACATTTCTAGACTAGATCTTAACTGAGCTTATCAGCAGGTGGTGATGTCCGAGTCATCAAAACGCTACCTCACGCTGAACACGCACAAGGGGCTGTTCATTGTAAACAGACTTCCTTTTGGAATCTCGTCCGCACCCGGAATGTTTCGAAGAATAATGGACACCATGCTGAAAGGTTTGAGCGGCGTTTGTTGTTATCCAGATGACATTTTAGTCACGGGCAAGACTACCGAATAACACATGGCCAATCTTGAAGCAGTGTTGAAGCGTCTGCTTGAGCGAGGAGTTCGAGTCAAGAAAGAAAAATGTTCGTTTTTTCAGCCTGAACTTCGCTATCTAGGTCACAGGATCAGCGCTGACGGCACCTCGACGTCGTCTGACAAGGTGGAGGCGCTGCTCCAGGCTCCCAAGCCCGAGACAAAGCAGCAGCTCCAGTCTTTTTTTGGGTGTCGTCAATTACTACGCCAAGTTCGTGCCCCGTCTTGCAACGACAGCCCAACCGTTTTACAGATTGCTGCGCAAGGACGAGCCATGGCGTGGGGACCAGCTTTGCCAGGAAGCCTTCAACACCATCAAGGCCGAGCTGGCGTCGCCTCCCACCTTGGCACACTACGACCCCGACAAACCGCTAAAACTAGCGTGTGACGCCTCTCAGTACGGGGTAGGTGCTGTAATTTTTCACGTTTACGCAGATGGCAGCGCTAAACCCATCGCTTACGCTTCGCGTACGCTATCGAACGCTGAAAAAGGGTACAGTCACCTCGAACAAGAGGCCCTAGCCATTATTTTTGGAGTTAAGAAATTCCAGTCGTATCTTTATGGTCGGCCCTTCACTTTGGTCACGGACCACAAACTACTCCAGACCATTTTAGGTTCGAAAACTGGAATTCCGACCATTGCCGCTGCGCGATTGCAGCGTTGGGCAGTCGCATTGTCGGCCTACATTTACGATCTTATCTCCAAGAGATCAAGCGAGAATGCCGAAGCAGATTTTTGCTCGCGTCTTTACTACCGACTGTTGGAAACGAGACTAAAGAAAACGAGGAATCATTCTACTCATTGCGACTGCAACCACTGCCGGTATCTAGTAGTGATATAGCACGTGCAACAGCGCGAGATCCAGTTTTGTGCCAAGTGAAAGAATTCACAAGCGCAGGCTGTCCCGCGTTTGTCTCTGACGAGAAACTAAAGCCTTTCTTCGACAGACGCAACGAGTTGACCATTCATCAGGGCTGCATCATGCACGGAATGCGAGTTGTCGTCCCAGGGAAACTGCAATCCCTGCTGCTGGATGAACTTCACGAGGGCCATCCGGGTATTGTGCGCAGCAAGGAGCTCGCGCGCAGTTACGTTTGGTGGCCGGGCATCGAGGCGGACCTGGAGCGCAGCGTAAAAAACTGCGTAAGTTGTCAAGAGCAGCGGTAGTGCGCCTGCCAAGGCACCCCTACACCCGTGGTCAAGACTTTGCTGCACCTTTTCTTCAGTCTATGTTCCTTGTTGTGGTAGATGCCCACTCCAAGTGGCCAGAAGTATTCATGATGCGCTCAACCACGACGGAGAGCACGGTTAACACTTTGAGAGAGCTTTTTTCTCGTTTTGGCAACCCTGAAACTATCGTGTCAGACAATGGTCCTCAGTTCACGACACGGGAGTTTAAACAGTTCACACAGGAAATTGGCTCCCGTCACGTCCTGAGAGCTCCCTACCATCCAAGTTCAAATGGTTTAGCCGAACGCTTTGTACAGACCCTCAAGAGCGCCCTTCGTAAGAACAAAGAGAGTGCGCATTTGAATGTGAAGTTGCAGATGTTTCTGCAGAGGTACCGCAACACGGCTCACGCCACAGCGAACGAGTCACCCGCCAATTTTTTTGGGGGGCGACGTTTGCGCAGTCGCCTAGACGTTGTAAAGCCTTCTGTGGGGGAAAGAGTAGCCCGCAAACAGTTTATGCAGACTGCAAGCCGGCGTGGGCACGATCGTGACTTTGCCGTTGGTGATCATGTGCTCATCCGTGACTACTGTGGCAAACCCAAGTGAGTGCCTGGAGTGATTCTTGCGCAGCATGGCCCTGTTTCTTACCAAGTACACGCCACCACTTCCAGAGGCAGCTTCACCTGGCGTCGGCACAAGGACCAGCTGCTAAGAACTCCAAGCCTTGCCGACGAGGACGCTGACAAGGAAGGCACAGAGTTCCTGTTGGTTCAACCGAGCAACAACGCACCCCAACCATCGTCCTCGTCACCCACCTGGCGGAACTGTCCCAGCCTAAGCAGCACAAGCGCCTGCTGCCCGACGGTATCCGGCAAGAACCCGGAAACCTCCCAAAAGATTTCAAGCCGGATCTTAAACTTTTTGAGCGTGTCCAAATAAAGAGGGAGGAAATGTCATGTCTGGGCACGCGCCGCCGATAACAGAATATCGTAGTACGGCGCATGCGCCACTAGATGATAAAAAGCGGTGCTCCGCTGGCTACCGCCTACTATGCTCAGTTACCCCCCCATCCATGAGCATGGTGGAATAAACTTGTTCCTTGCTTCTGGCCGACACACAACACACATAGGCTCACAAATTTGTAGAGAGACCCCGGTGAATATATACACTCGCAAGAATTCCGCAAATTCCCGCGAGCACACCCACGGCGTCTCTTGATCCATATCCAAGCGTTCGGGAGCACAAGACTTCACCACAAATGAAGTCGCACCAGCAACTGTCAACAATGTCGAACCGCGGAGGGGCTTGTTCCCGTATACGGCGTCTGCTTTCGATGCGAGCTGCGCTGCTTTCCCCCAGTGCTGCGCTTTCGTAAAAATTTCGCCGGGTCCTCAAAGGGGCTGTCGTTCACGCCTGGTTTCAAGATTCTGCTTCGTCAAACAACTTAATCAAGCACGAAATATCACAGTGTACTAGACCCACGGCTATGTTTATGGCAGCCTGCCGCAACAGCACAGTCTGCCATATTACTATGATAGCTACAGATAATATATTCTACCAAAAATACGGCCGACGGTGGCCGCATTCCCGTCCATATATAGGCGGAGCTGTTAAAACGTGATCACTTGAATGTTGACGTAAAACGGTGTCCTAGAGTGCCATCATGCACGATCCACGGCCGTAAAGTAGCGTTTCTCAGCGTCTCTCGGTGTCCCCCGGCGTCTTTCCACGGGCAAGATGCGAGCGTTGTGAAGGACGCAACGCGGCGCACACTGAAAACGCGACCGACAAATATCCAATTTTGCTCGCCAGGGGCGCTGCTCGAAACCTGAGAGCTACAAGCCTATGGCGCTCGCTTTGCTCGCGTTCCGAAGCGACGAAGACGCGCGCGCCTGGCTGTGGAGATCGCACACTGGGCTATGACTTTGTAAACATGGGAATGGTCTACCCGTTTTCTCGAACGCGAACCGTGGGTTAAAGTTAACTATTGTCCCTAGAAGAGGAAATTCTAGGTCACGTGACTGGGAGAGCAGGGGCGCCGAGGGAGGAGCAGTACCTAGAAGCAAAATGGCGGCGACGTCGCTTAATGAGGGCTAATAGTTCTTCTTGGTTCTGCTGAACATTCATTTCGATCCGGCTGTTATATTAATGACGCACCATCAACCTATTAGCACGTCAAGCAAAGCGGTAGTTCAGAGGGAGTACTAAACTAACCGACGGCAGCATTTCGCCAACGCATCACTCTTCAGCAGTCCGGGATCCAAGACATAAGCATAAGCCTTGCAAGTGTTTTTATGGCGAGTAAAAAAATTTTTGCGAACGAGTATTGGTATATATTTATACTAACACGTTTAATTTGTTACACTATGCACGCCAACTCGAGAGCAGCGGTTACTTTGCGAAGAAAGGGAATTATCCTCGATAAAGTCTTTGTTCCGGGTGAACAGCTGGGACATTGTACTGTTTTATTGTTCGCAGAGCGCCGACAGTATGCCGACAGCATCGAGGTTTCTACATATCCCCGGTGGCCAGCAGTTCAACGGTGACGAGAAGCTTAGGTCCTCGTCACCGTTGGATCGGTTGGGCAGAAGGCAAAGATGAGATCAGCAGGAATCGCAGAAACGTGCGTCGCAAGGAACAAAAACGATACTACAGCACCGGCGTTGCCAGACTGGAAGGCACACGGGAAAGTTATGCGTTGTTTATGGCGAAACATATTGAAGGAAATGTTTCTTAGATTTTCGAATACTCGTCGGCAAACTCTAGCATAGTAGCTAAAACTTCTTCGTACCATCTGAAGCAAATAAATTGGTCTTCAAGTACAACATTACTATATTTTGATTTGAAATACCATATGAAATCGATAACAAACCAGCGGCAAAAGAGGTTAAACAAAATGACTGGCTTGTTTCACCGATAGATGGCGCATCTTACTGCCCAATGAAAAATAATTATTGTTTTTCTATATCCAGCCGTTTATTACAGTGCCTAGGTACTTTTTCCTTCCTAGGCACCGTGGTTTACCAAAATGGGTTTACCATCGCTTCGAGAAAACCGGCCCTGGAAGATAACGCCTAAGCTTTTTTTCCTAAAAACGTGATCACTTGTGGATCCACGCTGCCCAGTCTAGCTTGCGTTAACATCACCGCTAGCGCGCCTTGCAGCTTCTCAAAACAAACGCAACGCCAGCAAGCTGTGACGCCAAGACGAACGCACACTGGCCACGCAACGTAAGCCGCCGCCCGATTCAAGCGGTTCGGCTCCATCCATCTATCCATCCATTCATCCAAAGACGACGTCACGCGCAGTCCTTGTTTGCTGGATGATATTGATAGTGGCGACTCCAGCAAAATCGGCGGCACCTATAGTGCCCAGTGCAGAAAGCTGCGGCAACACGCTCGGTCGCCAGTCTTCTCGAGCAAATCGGTCATCACGGCGCCTGGGGGTCTAAAGACAAAGCCTAGAAAATAGGTTCGAATACGCGCGGTGAAAATCACTGATACCCCGTGTTGGTACAAGACCGACGGAGTGCGGCTCTCACCTTGGAGGGCAGGATGGAATGAAGGAGCTCCTCTGTCTTTTTCTTGTCCTCGTCCAGCTTGGACTGGAGCATTTTGAGTCTGTTGGTGGCCTCGTCGAGCTTCTCGATGAGCTCCCGCTCGCCGCGGTGGTGGTGGGACCGGAGGAAGAGCTCCCGGGCCGGGTCGTGGATGGCCAGGTCGCTGAAGAAGAGGCCGATGCGGCGCATGTCGTCGATGTCCTTCACGCGAGGGGAGCACAGGAACAGGATGCTCTGCGTCTCTTCGACGGACACCATCTGGCCCTTGAGACGGAGCAGCGGTCGGCCCTGCCCCGGGCTCCCCGCTTCCTCTCGGGGACACTGCAAGACCCCTTCGCGGGCCTGCACCACGAACACCTGCGCGGGAAGATGGGCAAGATGGCCTAGTTGGCACAGTCTCTCACAATATGAAAAACCCACTCGCCGGGACAGTTCATGCGGCGTTGCTAAGAAAGTACCACGTAGAAGGCAAGGCCTGCCTATGATGTCATTGTTAGTGGACCCCCAACACGACCCCCGCAATGCGGCGGTCGTGTACTTCTCGCTTGCGGCAGCCTCGCCGCTAGTGCGGTTTCAATTTTCGGTGTTGAACAATAGGCCGGTGTTTATCAGGCCTTATGTAAAAAATAAATAAATAAATAGCATACCGACATGAAGTTTCCCAACGTCCAGAGAACACGCTCGTGCCCAGAATGCTTGGAAAACGTACCGGTGCGGATAAAAGAAGGAAACGAGGCAAGGGGTTTGGAAGACTGAAGTAGGCTACCGGATCATTCAGTAATCTCTAATTCGGGGCCTTTCCGTTTTTACTGATTTTGATAAAACCTACTCGGGTGTTAATTTTAGGGGTTTATCGGTATTCACCAAAAAACTCGAAACTGTGTGAGTAGCGTGGCTTTAGCTTCCCACTTAAACCCGCACCGTTTCGCCTCCCGGTCCATCGATGTCCACGGCATCGGGTCGACCCCGCTGCAGCGAGTGGCGTCCCTACAGTTTCTACTGGAAAGACCTCTCGGGGCTCTGCTAATTGGACCTCTCTTTCTCGGTCCGTTCTTTTTTTATCTTATCGCTTCCCCCGTTTTCCTCTCCCGAGACGCGCGTCCTTTCTTAGAAGAGAAGCTGGGCACCACTTTTAGTCCTTCGTTCGGGTCCGGCGTGTGCGGCGGTGGCCCGTGTCTCTCATCGATTTGTACTTGGGCAGCGAGCCGGGAGCCCTGGCCCGATCGGCTCTCGGGGTTCCTGCCCCCGGGCGTGCCCTCGGGGACCCGCGTTCCTTCCTGTCTCGGGGGAGGACGTCGTTGCAGGAGGATGCGCGACGGCCATTACCAGCCACGTCCACCGGATTGCATTCGGACGGAAGACTGCTGGTCATCGTAGCCTTCTCTCTCTCTCTCTCAAACTCCCTCTTTGTATCTTACTCTGCCGAATAGTTAAAGCTCGTTCGCACGCTTATGGCAGGTTACGACAGGGTGCCTAAAAACCTCCGGACCTCTTACCACCAGAGAACACGCTAGCGTCATCTATTGGGTAGTTGCGTAAAAGTCGGCATTTTCGTATATTTGTTATTCTTTTCCGCGCGTCTTTCTTTCACTATTGGCGTCAAAAAAAAAAAAAAAAAAAAAAAAACTTTTCGCAGTGCTATAAACGACAGATTTTCGTAGATAGTAAGTACATTTTTTTTTTTTTTGCCGCGTTGTCGAAAGTAGAGGAAGCTCGCGCTGGGGCAGGAGCCTCCTTCTTAAAGGGTAACTGCAAAGAAAAAAAAGTTTTTTTTTTTAAACAGCCTAATTGGGACAAGCATGTCAAAAACAATTTTTCCGCGAGAAAAAACATTTTTTACAGCAATATTTATTGTGTGAGACTGATTTTAGTTTGCGGCTATTTCGCTCGTTTTAAATCGCGCGCCACGAAGTTGTGATTATGTGACGTCATTCCCAAAAGGTTCTCATTGGCTAAGAGTTTGATTGACAGCTTAGATCTTGGTTGTTAAACCTTTGTTATTCGTTGCAATTTCCATTTGAGCGGCATATTTTTACGTTTAAAGAATAACCCATGTGATGAGAGTTATTATTCTTTACAAAAGGTTTACAAGACGGGCACTTCCGTTTGGATTCATACAAACAAAAGCTTCGCCATCTTTCATGGCCGCCGAAGTCTGCTCCCGCCTGTCTCGCCTACCTCGACTAATCGTCTCGCCGAAGTGATCAGTGTTTCGTCGTTTCGTGCTGACCCAGGTGCTTGAGTGAGACTTCTTGAAGTGAAGTAGTGTGTGTTTAGCAGCTGTCGCAGGTGTTAGTGATAGGAAGCGACGCGGGGTTTTGGCTTTCATAGCGCGGTTCTTTCGTTTTCCTCTTTGCTTGCTTAGCGTGCTTTTTTTTTTTTTTTTTGCTTGTTTGTGCGTGCAAATGCTGACTTTTCGGAGATGTTAGATGCGTGATCCCGACAGTGAGCCTTCCAGCAGCCATGTCGCCCCGAAAGGAATGCTATTTGGGTGGAGGCAATCGGGCGTTCGCGTAGCGACAAACGTGTCCAGTTACGTTCTCGTCATATCGCTCTGGAGGCCGTCGAGATTCGCCCCGTGTGCACCTAACGTCCGCGACTAGACAGAAAATAAAAAAAGCACTATCTCCACTACATAAAAATGGTCTCAGTTCATGCATCTGTAGGCAGGTACGAAATCGTGCCCAAATTTATTCACACCGCACGATGCAACACGTCGCTGTGCAAACGCAGTCCAACACGAAGCATAAAAACGGCAGATTTAGGACAACAATGCGGAGTCCATTGTTCAATTAAAACGTAGTAATTTTGTTGAAAACGCCCGCAGCTTTTTACTCACGGAATGCGTCGGGAAACTTCCACATTTTGAAACAGAACGAGGCAGATTTACTTTTAAGAACGCTCCCAGCGTCCTCCCGGACCAGTTTGACTGGATCAGCTGACGACGACGGGACTTAGCTGGTTGAACGTCAACCCCACAACAACCAATTTGCGCTCCGTGTTAGCACCGCATTACACACACCACAAACGTTTCAGCTCTGTCTCACCGCCGTGTTGCACCAAACGGAACGAGATCGCCGAAACCAACGCAGCGCTGTCGTGAACCTTGGCTCGTGGTTGCGCACTCGTGGATTCTGTGACTCCCTTCGCTTTGAAAGCGCGCACGACGATTACGAACGATACTTTCCATCTTCCGGGAACATCACAGGGGCACTTCTCCGGTCACGTCTTCGCTACATCTGCTCGCAAACCGCGTCAAACCCACCAAACCAAAAAAATACCACGGCCTGGCGTGGTTGCCAGATCTTGCCGGAAGTCGAGACCACAGGCCATCTTGAAAATCAAAACAACCAAAACGAAGCATAAAATGTGGTTAGTTACCCCATCCGTGGTGAGAGGGCGCTTTTACAAGTTTAAATAATTGTTTGAGGAACTTTCGCTCTTTTTTAATTATTAGGTTATCAATATAATTTATATTGTGTGAGTAATATGTAATGAGTTTAGTTCTAAAATGTACTTTTATTCACACAAGGCCCTCGATCACGTGGTTTGCGATTACCACAGGCTTATTCTACAGTGGGCAAACTGTGTATGATAAACTGTGGTCGAGACGCTGCGTCGTTCAACTCCGCAACGCAAGGAGAGTGAGGGGCGGGGCGTACTCCTCTTCCGCGGGGGTCGAAAGAGCGGGAGTTTCAAATGTGGAGAAATTCTGACTCTACTAAATTACGTCCTGTGGCGTAAATATTGATAAAAAAAATCATTTTTTTCGCGGAACATTTGTTTTGTGACATGCTTGTCCCAATTAGGCTGTTTAAAAAAAAACTTTTTTTTTCTTTGCAGTTACCCTTTAACGTTCTTTCTTTCAGTGACCTTAGCAGGCGTGAACTCGGAACGTTTTCGGTTCCTCGACAGTTGTGACAATATTACGTAGGAACAGTTGGGGGTTCGCGTACGTCGTGGGCCGTGCCGTCTGTGGACCGTGCCACGGATTGTCCACGAAAAGACCGGTCCCACATTCTGCTGTCTTTCATGCGGATGTCGTTCGAGCGTGGGGTCACCGACAGCCTAGAGCCTCGTCGTATACCGCTAATGCATCGTGCAGAAGACAGTCTGCAGAAACTGTCAGTCTGCACAAGCTATCTGAGGCTTTCCTCGCATGACGTTTCTCCTGCCACATTGGTCATGCGAAATCTGACATCTTCCGAGCCGTGCATAGTTTTTTTTTATTTGTAAAATTTGCTACATGGCGTATTTAGGGGCAGGACTCGGAGAAAAGAGTAGTTATGCGTCGTGCACGTACTCTCTTTTCTCCGGTTTTGTACACGTTATTCGAAAATAAAAGTAATCAATTACAATTACAATTAGCTCCCGGGTAAGAAGTATTCAGCTATATGACTCGATTACTGGAGACGAAAAGTATTGGGGTGTTACTCGAAAAAGTAACCGTACTTCTCTGGTTCCTCCTAGACTTTTAAAACGACATAGTTTTCTGCCGCGGCAGATAACTATGTCGTTTTCGGCATCGTCATTGGCTAAGCCGCTCTTCGTAAATTGCGGTGATTGGCTCTTCGAGTGTTGTGCGGGAAAGTAGACGCACTAATTCTGTCATCGTGTCTGCGGCGCATACCGTGTTTTTTGTACGACGTGTAAGCACTGGGGCTCGAGGCACGCGGGGCGGGGCTTACGATGGTTTCGCTTCCTGATTGGTTCTTTGACCTCCTCCTCGGCTAATGCTGCCAGCTCATTGGCTAGAGAGCTACAATGAGGTGCTCGGCCACGTCCCTGCGTTTCTTAGGTTGTCGGTGACCATAGCGCTTCTTAATAATATCACCAGAAACGATAACATTTTATTATCGTGCGACGTGGAGCCCGGGCCTTATCTTTGTCACGGAGACGCCGTCGCAACCGCTATAATGTTCGCCGTGGCTTTTTTGTTGTTCTTCTTCGTAACGATATGCTTTTGCTCGCTTCTTACTCGTTCCTTACGTTTCGGTATCTTCAGAATTCGCTTTGTTCCTCCTGCCGTTCGACTCCAAGTGCCTCGTCTCGGCACTGCGTTGTTTCCATGCCCGCTTCGTGCTCTCTAGGAGCCGACGTCGAGTCTTTCGAAGCCCCAGCAAAGGACCGTCCTACCCCCGGGCACTGGCACATAAGGTTCCGCTCAAAGCCTCCGCAATGACTGCTTTCTGTTTTACAACGGTCACGTAGTATCTAAACCCTCGGGCTCGTGAATTTATCTATTGTGGCATCGTTTTATATGACACCGGTTATTCTGACACTTTCCTTTTCATAAGGGTTTTGCGTGTTTCGAATTCTCCTCTTCAATTACAAAAAAAAAAAAAAAAAAAAATTGC